CTCGCTGATGATGTGGTTACGACGTCGATGAAATGTCCGAGAAAATACCATATAATCTGCGCCAATTATTATGAATAGTGAAGATTGGATGTAGGAAGAGACATATTCCACATTACTCCTCATCACTTTGACTAATGTGAGAAAATGAGGTCATGCCGATTCAGTACAAATAAAGATGAAATTATCTTGGCTTTCATAGCTTACAAACAGCTAGTGGTAAAAGACTTAAATTACAAAACCAACTTATGGACACGATGCATAACTAATATTTATTATACTTACAGGCTTAAATGTCATCTCATAAATAGGTCACAGTGACCAAGTCTCCTACTGTATAATATTCTCCTTATCCGATAATAATGAGGTAACTTGACGGATTTGTTTAGTGTCTAGTGTAGAATAACTGATTCATAAATACAGCAGGAATTTAAATAAAGCATAAATAAAAAGGCTAATAATAAAATGTAAACTACCAAGGTGAACAACTAGTAAAAAAAGTATTGGAAGCTTCTTCTGATCCGACTAAACGGACTATATAACTATTGAGTTGTGTACCAGTTTCTCGCACTGTAAGGGCAAATTTCCCAAACTTTGGGCATGGGAGACAAGGAATAATAAAAGACAATTAAAAAACCTCTTAATGTGGTTAAGTAAGTTACCAGATGAAAGTGAATCTCCATTCAATGACTTTGCTCTTGGGAAGCTCACCTCCTTTAGTTGGTCGAAATCCGATGAAAGTGCGAATTCAGTTAACTTTGTAGGAAAAGGCATAACTTCCGCCTCCTGCTAAGAATACAACGGCATCAAAAGAGAAGGCACAGTACCAGTTCATCCATATCATACATTTCGGAGAGTCTTTTCCAGACTTGAGATGCCGTAATCGGCTTGTCGAGTGAAGTACTTAAATAATTCATTATGTATATCATTTGGAAGTGCCTATCAACACCAACAGGCTTATGAGACATGAGTGCATGAAACAACTTTATCTCTGACTCTAAATCCCAATCAAAAGAGCCGGGAGAAAGTGTAGACTCACAAGACTTCATCATACAGCCAAGAAAATGAACCAACGCCGGGCGTTCAAGAAAATCGTAAAGGTGCAATGCCAATGTCAAATAAAAAGATATTTTAAAAGGTTTCATTGTTATTTTTCTTGATAAAAAACAACATTTTTTGGAATTAACGACATTTTTACCATACTATTTATGAACTTTCAA